TATTCCAATCTGTAGGGAACTTCTATAACATGATATACTTTTGTAGATGCATGTTCGGTTTATAATACACTGTATTGCTTTATATCAAATATGTCACATATATCATTAAATCGTTTCGTAACATATTATATCATTTTACTTCTTACATTATAGTGTTCAGTCTTAACCATAACGTGGACGTTTAAATGAAAAAAATCAATAACATATGGTGGCTGATTTGGTACAATTTGCGAGATAACACAACCTATATCGTTATCGCATTTTCGTCTTGTCGTCTTGTCGATAGCGAGCGCAACAAACTGCACGTTGTCGTGCGGCGCTTTTTCGATATGTCGCCCAGTCGCTTGGCTTATATACCCAATCCTTCGATTAAAGCCGAGCGACAATGTGTATTGTGACAACACGCCCCACGACAACGTGCCAGTTTGGCGTACATCGTTAGCGATAAGACGAAAGTCCGACAACGTGCCGTTTGACGCTTTTCGTGTTGTCGCTAGCGACAACAAAACGCACAAACGTGTTCCAAATCAGCCACAATACCATATAAAACTATATCTTTTTCAGCAACAAAATTATGATAGTTCGATAACTTCAAGGTCAAACCTTGAAAATATGTTGTAGCAAAGAGTTTCTCTTAAACACACATACGGTAGGGTTTTTGGCCGTTTAGCGATGACATCAATGCAAGCGCATTTCGCTTTTATGGCAATATCTTTAGTTCAATGAATTTGGAAAATTTATATTGAAATTATAAATTTTTCAGCAGATATTTAGCTTTATACACTTTAAGATCCCCTCCCCGCTTCCTTCTTGTTCAATATATTTTACTTCAGACGTTGTTGTATAAGTTAAAGTCTAATTTTCTTGAATAATTCGTTACATTTAATTCCAAAAAGTGCGGTATGATACAAGACGTCAACCTTCAACACAGTACGTAAAATGTCTGTGTAAAGATGACCGGTCATTAAAATACTAGAACAAACTCGTGTTGTGCCCTATTTCTTATAGTAATTCAACTTTATTTCTTTTCATGGAACTAATGGAGTGTTATTTCTAAAAAGTCACAATGAAAGTTCAGAATTTTCTTCTCTGTACAAAGATGTCCTTTTTTAATGATGCTATTTTTAATTTATAAGGATTTTATACATTGTTCACTAAACGTTTGCGTGACAATTGAATCGCACTTAACTGTTCTTGTAACTTGCGGCATATCAACTTGTTAAACGGGCGAGCACTAATCTTGTTAAATCTGGGCGTAACGTTAAGTAATAATTTAGACACATTCGGGGTAGATTTGGATTGTTAAATTTTGGAACTTCATATTCTGTTTAACACACTGCAGTTGGAAATCTATAAGCTCATTTTAATATTTATTAGGGTTGAAGTTACGAGGATTTAATACGTTTGAAAGAGCAATACTTTGTCAGATATGTTTGTTGGTAATGTGAACAATATCCAAAGAAGACTATTGATACTGCGATAGAAGCTGGGAAAATGATAACCACATCATCTACGCAAACACATTATTCAGCTAATGCAAGAAGAAATAAATCATTATGTAGCATTGAACAAACGAACAAAGATAGCCATTTATACAAACGTGTTGCTTGGAAATGCTCGAATAAAGGGACCTCTACACTTCTTGACACTTTATCGTTCCTTTAGTCGTTCCCATTCCAATTTCTTTTTTTTTTCAAATTGACAGAAAAAGAAATATTTAGAAAACAGTTTTTTTAAGGATATAGGTATCAAGTGCGAGGTTCGAAATCAAATGTGCAATAAAACATTCATGAAGGCCAACTAATTATTAAAACATCAAAATAACGACAAACCGTGCGTAATCATACTACAACGTAAGTTAACTTGATGTAGAAATAGATAATTTATATTAACTTCTGTATTACTCATTCCCTATTAGAGGAAAGAAATAATCTGATCTATCATTTTTTCAGACATTTCTCAGAATTCGAATGAGCTTTGAATAAATGTAATATCTGTATTTAATTACATATCTATTGTATACTGATAATATGTATGGTCAGTGAAAAGAACATGTTTAACATCGAAAGATATTTTTTGACAGTATCCGTAGCAAATTCAGAAAAACGACAATAAATATTCAAATATATCTTTATTTGTATAAAGATATTCAGCGCAACCAGTATTCTAGCTTAAGTACGCTTGATCCAGGTGTTTGCAAATTCATTCTGTTTAACACCCGTAGACATGTGTTTACACCATTTCAGCATATGGCATGTCTGAAACGCATACATTTTGAATACTACTGTTCAAAATGACTTCTACCATATATTTGGCTATTCACAAATAATGAATAATTGCGATGGACGATTAGATAGTTACGTTTTGTACTCTGTTTTTATGGTAAACCGTGTTCAATAGAAATTTAACCATGTTATCGTTGCCATTATATTTAAGAATGATAAGCAAAAATATAAAAATTGTATAACAGATGTTTATTAGTTTAAAAATCAAAACGTGCCCTCCGCTCTTATTAAACGCCTACTAAGATACCGTTTCCGTAAATTTCCGTTAAGAAATATTCTTTATCTTCTTCTTTAAAGAATATTATCTATTCAAATACAATAACTGCACTAAAATAATGAAGAGAATCACCAAAATGATGACATATTTCCGCAGTTTAAAGATAGAATTGACTCATTTGATAACGTTAAAATTAAGTGAATCTTGATAAAACTCTCGCTGAATCGTATTTTTTTCCAAATAATATGAAGTAGATCTACCATATAAGAAAGAGAATTTTGAGGATTGACAAATCCAATGTCATTTATTTTAACGACACTTAATATATTGACCTTGTAACAGGAAACACTTTGAGGGCTTTCTTAAAACTATTAAACAATTAGCACATTTATTCTTATTGCTTCATTTATAGTTTCAAAATGTTTTCTAAGTATTTCTCATTATATATTGTAACATGTCACGGCTGATATTTAAATTGGAATAAACACTTTAATGTTAATATAATAAGGAAGATATCACATCATGTGGATATCATTGTTTTATATTACGGACACTTAAAAATTAGAGTATATAATAAAAGGCCATTTTTCTCTGTAGTGGATGTGTGAGTAAGATGCTTGAAGTTGTTGAAATCCCGTCCTGCTTCATATAAGAAATACGAAGAAAATAGAATGAATAAACCGAAAAATTGTTTCTTGTTTTTTTATTGGTGTAAATTCGTTTATTGTAAGGCCAGATTAGGTCACAAGTGTATGACGTCTTAAGTAGTTACAAGAAACGGAAATAGATGATAATCAGGTTAAATACTGAGAGAATTTTTTTTACTAAATTGGTTAATTTTCAGTGAAAGTAAAATTGCAGCTTCGTGATGAATGAACCTGACATTGAAAAACAATAACAGGGAGTCTGATCTTGCTGATTCCCGGCGTGTTTAAAGACAATAGAATTTGGGCCAAAATAATCTCATATGAAGAGCACCCATAATTGTGTTGTACTTCTGGTAAAAACATATATACGGTGGCATGTTATTGCCAACAGTTTACCATATAATTATTGTGTTATCTGTCTAACTAACACGATAAATAACAGATTTTTGTCAGACTAACTAGATATTTTTCTGTTAGGTAGATAAATAACGAATAAGTATCTAACTTCCAAAAATACTAAAAAGTGCCCTAATGGAAATTTCGCGTAGTAACGCTTTCCCTTTAATATCAACAACTGCGCAGATCTTTTTTATTTCTATCTTTTGTTTCTCTATTTTATCTTTCATTTTTCCCTATATGCTATTGAACATATTTTGATACTAAGTACCTTCGACAATTGCGGCATAGGCAAGTTGCATGTTATTGTAATGAAATCTATTAATAGTAACACATAGCTGATGAGACATACAGGTAACGAAAACATATGGTGGCTGATCAAATGTAAAATATATTGATTTTATATTTATAATAACAAACATGTTTTTCATGAAACAGCTTTGTATCTTTTATCATTAGAAAGGTCCTTAAACTCGTATTTTAAAAATAAAAAATGAATTTTCAAAACTTTATCCTTTTTTCTTTGTAAAGAATTAAACTTGGCTGGAAAACTATTGAATAACAGTTAAAAATATCCGAGTGTTCTTTTTAATTAGCAAAAAACGAACATCCGCTTACATTTCAAAACTATAAATACATATGTAGATGTATTAAGAACTTTCAAATGATAAAAGAATCTAAAACATTGGTCCACATATAAAAATTAGTTATTAGAATATAAAAATTATGCTGCTATATAATGCATATAAATATTTGTTCTTCTTGCCAACCAGTAAATCTGCTAAATGCTGGTGTCAGGTATTTGTGATGTCATCAGTCAACTGGTCAATTGTCTATGAACGACTACTACACTACTGCCATACACAAATTTAGCATGCACCAGAAAATGCTACATCCGGTCAGTTTAGCATTGCAAATATTTGTATCATAGTTTGGGGACTTTTCTGTTGAAAATTTGTCAGAGTTAAATCCTATACATATACGTGCACAGTGCGTTAACTGGAGTTTTAGTTCCCCGCACTCCAGAGCATGCCAATTCATTGCCTCATTTTTGCTGGGGTTTACTTATTGTGACGGCAGAGAAAGGGAAAGCGATAGAAATATGATATTCAGATGCTCGATCATTGGTTACTTTTTTCTGGGGTTTCATATTTGTGACAACAGGGAGCGTATTTTTATGTTTGACTATGATACAAAAGAGAAAGAACATTAAAACACTGATTAATAAAATCTGATTAATGCTGATTATATATACGCCCCTCGTACACATCAGATAGCCTCGAGTTTCGATGCTCTTTCTTTTACTTAACTTATACCGGATAAGAAAAGTTTATAATTAAGCCATTGTAAGATAATTGTAAGAAACAACACTTACCATTGGTTATGTCGCAATCGTTCGTGTCCCAAGGTACACCATTAGTTAAAATTTGGATGACATGGAGGTATTGTTATATAAACGTGTATGTCAATAGTTAAATCAGTTTGGGATAAATTTTAGAACTTGGTGTTACAAAAATACACAGTACATGAACTAAGAAAATGTCTAAATTTCTTAGTTTAAGTATTGGACTTTTATTATCATTATTTTGTCAGGTAACATGTGTAGAGCCGGAATTAAGTGCAAAAATAGTGTATCAACTGTTGTCAATGCGAATAGACAATGTTGTTCGTGAAAACAATAATCTAAAATCTGAACTTAAGGAAACTAAGGCAGTTGTTGATAGACTCGAGAACAAAATCGAAAGTATGGAAGTGAATATCTCCCTAATGGCAAGTAAAGCGGCAAGATATGAAGAAGAAAATTCAAAACCTCTGTTAAATGAAAAGATGCAGGCTTTTGAAAAATTATTTGCGTCTCGACTTCAAAAGAAATTTAAGACAGAAGCAATAGTATCGCGGAAAATGCTAACTAACGGGAAGTCACACATGAAAGAAACAATAAGGGAAATTGAACAAAAGTTTAAAAGTTTCAAATCGGAACTCATAGATAATCTAAGTGCAATGAATACCACTGTTGACAGTTTAGAAAATTCAATTTCCAAACAAAACATAACAACAATCACTATGCTAGTAGCAGTAGAGGACAAACTCAAAAGTCAGTTAAATGAAACAAACATGCTCATACAAGACATGAATGAAGACTTTGGGAGTAAACTTCGATCAGTCTCGTCAAAGCAAGGTAAAAACAACTAAAAATATTTTTTTTATACCTATACACAATTTGGTACAAATAAGGCAATTACAAATTAAATTTTCACGAAACATAATTGTGCATGAATTTTGATTTGTTAAATGCAGTATGTTACTGGTATATTTTGTCTTTAGTTCTGTTTCGTTATCAACGTAACATTGTTTACAATTACACAGTCCTGATAAGTCAGCTCCGTTCATGACATTATGAGTAAGATAACACTCTATGGTATTATCCGATCCACAAAAATCATTATTGTCTTATTTCAATTCAAATGGTACATAAAAATTATCTACCGCATCTCCTAATTAAAAAAAAATAATATATTCCACGCAAGTTTTCAACGAGATGCATACAAACAATTAAATATTGCTCGTTTTTCTATAAATAAATCTGAAAAAAATGATTTTATTAGCTTGTAACTGATGAGTTTTGATATACATGTTGGTAGTTATTAATGAAATTAATGTTTTATAAGAAAAGAAACTTAATGTTATTTTCTTGGCACAATGTAATCTCGCCTGATTTGAAGGCCCAAGGCATAACAGTCATATTCTTTATATTTTTCAAAATTTGTTCCTTGTATTTTTCCGACACGAACTTTTACACAAGCATGGTCATTCAGTTCAGTTTCTAGCTAGCGGACAATTTGAATAGATACTTGTTGATAAAATCACTCCCACCACTCCCTTAACATATTTTTTATGTTTCTTTTTTCTTCCGTCTTTATTAACTTTATCTCAGCAGCTTCCAAATATTATCATGCCATGTCATTGTCTACCACCAAGTGCCTAAAGCTATCCATGCGTCATGCTCTACCTTAGATAATTCGTTGGCAGTTTAACAAATCAGCACAAAGGACAGATATTTGAATATGAAAAAGATCTTGTATTTTGTTGTAGAAAGCAATAATCAGAAATTGCATACTAGTCATTCTTCCGCTGCGTAACTTTTTGACTACACAGAGTGCATTTGATACATAATCTATATTATACATGAGCACTATTATGTAAATGATGCAATTATTTCTATGCTTTATTATGTGAGCAGCTGCACAATTCTTATTGTACAGTGTATGATTCCAGTAATAATGTAGTTTCTAATAAGGTTCAATTTTAATTTCTTCCAAGTGCCAAGTACATGTTTAGCTTATCTTTGATTTCTATGCAATTTACATGATTTAGCTAGAAATGCTTCTTTTCATCCTTCATTGTCAAATATTATACTTTTTCTACAATATGCCATTTGAAATTAAATCGTGTATCATCCTTGCTCCACAGTCTAATAATGATGCATTTGTTACTGATTCCTGTAGAATTGATTTATGTTATTACTTATTAAATGAATTTGAGCGGCGCCTCTTATATTTTGTGAAAGGGCGGCAGCAACTTCTCGGGCCTTTTCGTCGGTCATAACAGCCGATACTTCCGATTGAAATGTCGCGAACAATGAAAAGCGAACTGGAGAATTTCGCAATGCAAACATATTCAAATGAAATTATCTTATCCGTCAATTAATCGCGCTCTTCAGGATTTTATTTTAATCATTTTGTAGTACAAACAGAAGGTTATTGTGTATTGCTGTACCTATAAATAGAATGATGACCTTAACATTGTGAAAGTCCGAAAACCTGTTAATAGAAGTAGTTTTAGTTTAACGAAGCGGTCATTGTTGTCGCGCTAAGGTTATAAATAACGATATGGAGAATTTTTCAGGAAATGAAATATGAAAATGAAACATATTCAAACAATTTATTGCACTTTGGATATTATAGACCTGTATATTGTTGATATTGTCGTTAATAATTATAGAACTTCAAGTTCCTGTGGAAAAAAATAATATTCTAATCTCTAGCATGCCTGTCTTTCGTCTGCCAATTCATAAATATTATACGATTCTTGTAAAAACCAATTAAACATTGAAAAGTTTATAAGAATATCTGGTCATCAGATGTCTACTAGTTCATCTTCACTTGCTGCATTTACTGCATCGACGCCCTTAGATGCTTTGCATCAATGCTTTTCTTAATATTAATTAAATGAATTTGTTATGTTGTTCAAAGTTGGCATGTTCGGATATATTCCGTGATTCCTTTATCACAGGGAAAGAATTTAAAGTTATTTGTTTCATTAATCTTTGGCGTGCAGACTACGGAAACACGTTTCCCTTTACACAGAAGTTAAGATTGTTGGTGGTTATTCCTAGAACAAATTTGTGATCAATTTTGTAAAAATAGTGTTTTTTTCCATAAGCCTGATCAGAGCTAGTCTGGTTTCCTGCCTACATTTACTATGGAAAGTATGACATAGTATAAGGGGAAGGAACTCCAGACTAGATCAGAGCATGTTACTTGGTGAAATATCAAAAAATATGTACATGCCTTTTACAGTTCTTACAAATTAAAGACCAAGCTATGTCACTTAATATGAAATATAAAGTATTAAACTTGTTTAAATATTACAATAAAATGTATAGCTTTTCTGGCAATATACAGCAGCGTTGTTGTACTTTTGGTAAGTGGACAAATTATAAGGATATATATGTTATACTAACTTGATGATGGTTCCTTCCTTGTCTTCTACAATGTAAGTGGATAATAAACTCAAGACAGTAAATAGTCAGTTACGTCCTCGTGCCATTACGAGTTTGTGAGTATATTCTTCCATGATTGAGTTTTCGTAAAATAGTAAGAAATATATATATTTAATCATAATCATTACAGACAGACTTATGGACACATTTTCTGATCAAATCAGTGCTTTAAGCCAAAGAACATCTGAACAAAACATAACAGCAATCACTATGCTAGTAGCAGTAGAGGACAAACTCAAAAGCCAGTTAGATGAAACAGATCTTCTCATTGAAGACACGAATGTTTTCTTTGAGAGTAAGCTTCGATCAGTCTCGTCAAAGCAAGGTAAAAACAACTATAAATATCTTTTTATACTTATACACAATTTGTTGCCAATAAGGCAATTTCAAATTAAATTTTCACGAATTATAATTCCTGCATGAGTGTTGATTTCCTTAAATGCGGTATGTCTACTGGTCTTTTTTGTCATTAGTTCTGTTTTGTTTTCAACGTAACATTTTTAACTATTACACAATCCTGATAAGTCAGCTCCTTTTATGACATTATGAGTAGGATAACACTCCATTGTATTATCCAATGCTGTTAATGATACCACAAAAATTCTTTGTTGTCTTATTTCAATTCTACTGACATCAAAATTATCTATCATATCCTAATTGAAAAAAAAGAAAATATATTCCACGCAAGTTTTCAACGAAAAGTTTATCAAACAAATTAATATTGCTCGTATTTCTATAAAAAATAATGAGAATGATTATTTGTAGTTCTAGCTGATAAGTTTGATATACATGTGGTAGTAATAAATTAATTAATGTTATGCAAGAAAAGAACTTCACGTTATTTTCTTTGGCACAATGTTAATAAGTCGGCTGATTTGAAGGCAAATGGCGATAACAGTCATATTCTTTATATTTTCATTTGTGCCTTGTTTTTTCCGACACGAATGTTTTACACAAGCATGGTCATTGAGTTCAGTTTCTAGCTAGCGGTTTTTTTCAATTTAAATGGATACTTGTTGATAAAATCACTCTCACCACTCCCTTAACATATTTGTTATGTTTCTTTTTTCTGCCGCCTTTATTATCTTTATTTTAGCAGCTTCAAAATATTATTATGTCATGTCATTGTCCTTAAGCCATAGATGCGTCATGTTTTACCTTAGGTAATTCGAGGGCAGTTATACCAACCAGCACAAAAGACAGATATTTGAATATGAAAAAAATCTAATATTTTGTTGTAGAAAGCAATAATCAGAATTTGCTTACTAGTCATTCTTCCGCTGCGTAACTTTTTGACTACACAGAGTGCATTTGTTACATAATTTATATTATACATGAGCACTATTATGTAAATGATGCAATTATTTCTATGCTTTATTATGTGAGCAGCTGCTCAATTCTTATTGTAAAGTGTATGATTCTAGTAATAATGTAGTTTCTAATTAGGTTCAATTTTAATTTCTTCCAAGTGCCAAGTACATGTTTAGCTTATCTCTGGTTTCTATGCAATTTAGCTAGAAATGCTTCTTTTCATCCTTCATTGTCAAATATTATACTTTTTCTACAATATGCCATTTGAAATTAAATCGTGTATCGGCCTTGCTCCACAGTCTAATAATGATGTATTTGTTACTGATTACTGTAGAATTGATTTATGTTATTACTTATTAAATGAATTTGAGCGACGCCTCTTATATTATGTAAAAGGGCGGCAGCAACTTCTCGGGCCTTTTCGTCGGTCATAACAGCCGATCATTCCGATTGAAATGTCGCGAAAAAACACATGAAAATTCGAACTGGTGAGAATTTTCGCAATGCAAAATTTCAAATGAAATTATCTTATCCGTCAATTATCGCGCTCTCAGATTTTTATATTAAGCATTTTGTACAGTAATTTTGTCGCGCTAAGGTTATAAATAACGAGCTGGAGAATTTTTTTCAGGAGATGAAATCATGAAAATGAAACATATCAAAACAACTTATTGCACTTTGGATATTATAGACCTGTATATTGATTGATATTGTCGTTAATAATTAAAGAACTTCAAGTTCCTGTGGGAAAAAAAATTTTCTAATCTCTAGCATGCCTGTCTTTCGTCTGCCAATTTCATAAATATTATAAATTCTTGTAAAAACCAGTTAACCACTGAAAAAGTTTTTAAAAGAATATCTGGGCATCAGATGTCTACTAGTTCATCTTCACTTGCTGCATTTATTTGCATTGGAAACGCCTTTGATGCTTTGGCATGCAATGCTTTTCCCTTTAATACTAATTTAAATGAATTTGTAAGTTGTTTAAAGTTGACATGTCGGATATATTTCCGTGATTCCTTTATCACAGCGGAAAGAATTTAAAGTGGTTTGTTTCATTTAAATCTTTGCCGTGCAGCCTACGGAAACACGTTTCCCTCTACACAGAAGTTAAGATTGTTGGTGTTATTCCTAGAACAGAATTTGGTGATTAATTTTTGTGGAAATAGTGTTTTTTCCATAAGCCTGTATCGAGCCAGTCTGGTTTCCTGCCTACATTAACTACGGAAAGTATGACGTAGTATAAGGGGAAGGAACTTCAGACTAGATCAGAGCATGCTACTTGATGAAATATCAAAAAATATGTACAAGACATGTATTTTACCCTTCTAACAAATTAAAAGACCAAGCTATGTCACTTAATGTGAAATGTAAAGCTATTAAAACTTTGTTATTTTTAAATTTATTACAATTTTAAAATGTATAGCATTTTCTTGGCAACTATACAGCCATGCGTTGTTGTACTTTTTGTTATATGTGTTAACAATTTTTTGATGAGGTTTCCTTCCTCGCTTCTACAAGGGAATGGAAAACAAACCCAAGACTTTATAAGTCATTTAATGTCCCTTGCCTTTACGGGGATAATTTTTCCCAATTGAGTTTTCGAAAAAATGAAAAGAAAATTTTAAAAAATTTTTAATCATAAAAATCGGGAAAAGATTTATGGACACACGATAAAACCAGGGGGTTTAAAAGCCCAAAAAAACATTTTTGAAAAAAAAAACATAACAGAAAAACTACCCAATAGAAGGAAAACTAAAAAGCCATTACAGGGAAAACCAATTTCTCTTCAAGACATGAAATAACTTGAGAAAAAGCTTCAAACATTTCCGTTCAAAGAAAGGGTAAAAAAAAACTAAAAAATACTTTTTATACAAACAATTTTTGCCAAAAAGGCAAAATATACAAAATTTTGTTGCCAATAAGGCAATTTCAAATTAAATTTTCACGAATTATAATTCCTGTATGAGTATTGACTTCCTTAAATGCAGTATGTCTACTGGTCTTTTTGTCATTAGTTCTGTTTTGTTTTCAACGTAACATTTTTAACTATTACACAATCCTGATAAGTCAGCTTCTTTTATGACGTTATGAGTAGGATAACACTCCATTGTATTATCCAATGCTGCTAATGATACCACAAAAATTCTTTGTTGTCTTATTTCAATTCTACTGACATCAAAATTATCTATCATATCCTAATTGAAAAAAAAAAGAAAATATATTCCACGCAAGTTTTCAACGAAAAGTTTATCAAACAAATTAATATGTCTCGTATTTCTATAAAAAAATATGAGAATGATTATTAGTAGTTCTAGCTGATAAGTTTGATTTACATGTGGTAGTAATAAATTAATTAATGTTATACAAGAAAAGTATTCACGTTATTTTCTTTGGCACAATGTTATGTCGGCTAATTTGAAGGCCAATGGCGATAACAGTCATATTCTTTATATTTTCATTTGTGCCTTGTTTTTTCCGACACGAATGTTTTACACAAGCATGGTCAATGAGTTCAGTTTCTAGCTAGCGGTTTTTTTCAATTTGAATGGATACTTGTGGATAAAATCACTCTCACCACTCCCTTAACATATTTGTTATGTTTCTTTTTTCTTCCGTCTTTATTAACTTTATCTTAGCAGCTTCAAAATATTATTATGTCATGTCATTGTCCTTAAGCCATAGATGCGTCATGTTCTACCTTAGATAATTCGAGGGCAGTTATAACAATCAGCACAAAAGACAGATATTTGAATATGAAAAAAAATCTAATATTTTGTTGTAGAAAGCAATAATCAGAATTTTCTTACTAGTCATTCTTCCGCTGCGTAACTTTTTGACTACACAGAGTGCATTTGATACATAATTTATATTATACATGAGCACTATTATGTAAATGATGCAATTATTTCTATGCTTTATTATGTGAGCAGCTGCTCAATTCTTATTGTAAAGTGTATGATTCCAGTAATAATGTAGTTTCTAATTAGGTTCAATTTTAATTTCTTCCAAAGTGCCAAGTACATGTTTAGCTTATCTTTGGTTTCTTTGCAATTTAGCTAGAAATGCTTCTTTTCATCCTTCATTGTCAAATATTATACTTTTTCTACAATATGCCATTTGAAATTAAATCGTGTATCGGCCTTGCTCCACAGTCTAATAATGATGCATTTGTTACTGATTACTGTAGAAATGATTTATGTTATTACTTATTAAATGAATTTGAGCGGCGTCTCTTATATTTTGTGAAAGGGCGGCAGCAACTTCTCGGGCCTTTTCGTCGGTCATAACAGCCGATACTTCCGATTGAAATGTCGCGAACTATGAAAAGCGAACTGGAGAATTTCGCAATGCAAACATATTCAAATGAAATTATCTTATCCGTCAATTAATCGCGCCGCTCTTCAGGATTTTTTATATTAATCATTTTGTAGTACACACAGAAAGTTATTGTGCATTGCTGTACCTATAAATAGAATGATGACCTTAACATTGTGAAAGTCCGAAAACCTGTTAATAGAAGTAGTTTTAGTCTAACGAAATGGTCATTGTTGTCGCGCTAAGGTTATAAATAACGAGCTGGAGAATTTTTCAGGAAATGAAATATGAAAATGAAACATATTCAAACAACTTATTGCACTTTGGATATTATAGACCTGTATATTGTTGATATTGTCGTTAATAATTATAGAACTTCAAGTTCCTGTGGAAAAAAATAATATTCTAATCTCTAGCATGCCTGTCTTTCGTCTGCCAATTCATAAATATTATACAATTCTTGTAAAAACCAATTAACCATTGAAAAGTTTATAAGAATATCTGGTCATCAGATGTCTACTAGTTCATCTTCACTTGCTGCATTTATTGCATGGACGCCCTTTGATGCTTTGCATCAATGCTTTTCTTAATACTAATTAAATGAATTTGTTATGTCGTTTAAAGTTGGCATGTTCGGATATATTCCGTGATTCCTTTATCAGAGGGAAAGAATTTAAAGTTATTTGTTTCATTAATCTTTGGCGTGCAGACTACGGAAACACGTTTCCCTCTACACAGAAGTTAAGATTGTTGGTGGTTATTCCTAGAACAAATTTGTGATCAATTTTGTGAAAATAGTGTTTTTTTCCATAAGCCTGATCAGAGTTAGTCTGGTTTCCTGCCTACATTTACTACGGAAAGTATGACATAGTATAAGGGGAAGGAACTCCAGACTAGATCAGAGCATGCTACTTGGTGAAATATCAAAAAATATGTACATGTCTTTTACCGTTCTTACAAATTAAAGACCAAGCTATGTCACTTAATATGAAATGTAAGTAAAGAACATCTGAACAAAACATAACAGCAATGTCTATGCTAGAAGCAGTAAGACGTCTATCCCAAGCCGAGTCGAATTTGCAAAGTACATACAGTGGTCTAAACAACCGGCTCAATAGCGCCGAGGGTGAACTTCGATTGACAGTCTCGTCAAAGCAAGGTAAAACAATTATAATTTTCTGGTTTATACTTATATACAGTTTGGTGCCAATGAAGGAATTTTGAATTAAATTTTCACGAAATAGAACTTCTGCAAAAGTCTTGATTTGCAGAATGCAAAAAAGCTTTAGAAAAATTTTGTCTTCAGTTCTGTATTGTAATCAGAGTAACAGTGTTAACCAGTAAACAATCCTGATATATCAGCTTCATACATTACATTATGAGATAACACTGTTGTATTAGTCAATGATGTTGATCCTTCCTCAAATATTATTATTTGTCCTATTTCATTTTTACGGACATGAAAAATTACCTACACACTTAAAACATTGAAAAAAAATATATATTATACACAAGATTTTAACAAAATGCATATTAAACACATTAACATTGCTCGTATTTCTGTAAAAGATATCTGAGAATGATAATACTTAGTAGCTGATAAGTTTGATATACTGATGAGTTTGATAAACATGTGGTAGTAATATATAAGAAACATGTAAATATATATAAATAACTGTAATTATTACAGACAAACAGGAAGACAAATTTTCTGGCCAAATCAGTGCTTTAAGCGGCCGAATCTCTGTGGAAGAAGGTAACAGGTGTTTATGTTTTTAAATGGCATTATGCGTTCTATAGAAGTCCATATATTTTAACATGACATCTACATGCAAAAAGCTGTCTATATTTAAATATGCCTTACATCATACATATGTTTTAATAAAACAAGTTAATTGTCACTAATTTGAAACCGCATATGCTTGTTCAAGCGTAGAAAATACAACAATATTAAGTTTTGTGAAATATTTTCTATTTTAAAGCAGCACACCTCCAGTTTCATTTTAATATTCTTGAAAATTTGAAAATGTATTAAACAGTATATTGTTGTAAAGTTACCAAAGTAATGCAATTTACACATTATCAATGGTACTGAAAACCTCGGTAAATTACTATAAAGAGGTCAAAATATGCAAAAATAGCCCTTGCTGCGTTAGTAACGCAGTAGAAAAACATTTATACATACTGAAAAATTCAGTCATTAATCGCACATAACATGCAAATTTTTACTAGAATTTTGAATCTTTATACCTTTCTTAAAATCTTAGTACATTTTTCCCACGTTTAATTTTATCGAAATATTTTTTGCTCATCTGGAGGCGAGCAGCTTTAAAGGCTTAAAAATTAATGAGGTGGGGTTAAAGTTATTAAAGTATTTTTGTTTTTTAACATTCAAACTTTTATATTATAGTCCTATCATAAAAGAGAAGAACCATGCTTCGTACAACGGTAAAATAGGCTGTTTTCTTTATTAGCAGTTACACATCACACTTGATTCTATCTAATGATATAATAACAAAAAAAAAAGATCAATCACTATTTACAAACATTTGATACCTTTTAATCTAGACCAAACCAAATATTATTTTTTATGTCTTTGCTCAATAAAAATTATTTGATTCCCTTTCAGAAAGAAAGGTTGCATTTTCAGCTAGGATGTCTGAGGCAGATAGTTATTATGTCAAAAAAGAACGATTAGTGTTTAATGATGTTATATATAGTTACGGCGGAGGATATAGCTCCTCATCGGGGATATTTACAGCGCCAAAGTCGGGAACTTACTTGTTTTCATACAATATACAATCAACATATTCAGGTATGGCTCATGTGGTTTTAATGATAAATGGTAAGACACGAACTGAAGTTATAGCAAGTGGCAGCGCAAATGGTGGAAATTTAGGGATTGATTATGTTTATAAAGGTCAAATGGTTTGGGTACAGACCTTGCACTTTGAAAGTAGGTATTACATCGAGCATTACAGGACAACCTTTAATGGTATCTTGATAGACTAAAATAAAGTACCATGAATTGCAATATAAATACTATATATAGCGTGATCAAATGCAAAATGATTATAGATTCCTCCTGACTTACACGTTTATACAAAGCCTAGATTTGTTATTATAGATTTGAATTCACACTGCAAAGTCTTGGTCATTGTTTAATTATTTGATTTGTGTTCAAGCAAAAACATATCAAAACCAAAAAGTGTTTCTATTCAAATATAAAAATATAAAAACATTATTGGTTTTGCCCGTCTTGAATGAGAGCAAAGTTATTTATATTCTTATAAGTATTGGTTTATATAATTAGTGGTTAAAATTATATTTTGTGAAATTCATTTTATCAGCAGAAATTTGTTATTTAAAACTGGTCGATTTAATTAGCCATACTTGATTTATTTCAAGATTTAAAACATAATTTAAACCAGTTTGGTTAGTTTTTGAAAAATCAACTTTAATTCCATTTAACTGTTTCGCGGCTGCATCGCGCCAGACTATTTTGTTTTCATTAATATTGCTTTACACACATTAATCTATACTAAGCCAGGATATTGTAAATAAATAATAAGTCAACTATATAGCCCAGTTCATACAATCATCATAAGAGATTTATGTACAACTGTTTAAGTAATTGGCCATGAATTGTGTATGCTTTTATAGAATTTAGATTTACATAATTTTAGCTACCTTTATGTAAATAAATGACATTTTCACATACCTTGTCTTTTTTATCATTTGCTTAGCTGCTAAATGAAACAAACTCACACCAAAAATGACATCATAATAATGTTGATGACTTTTTTCTAAATGAGTGATTTTTATAGTAAGTAGCATTATACCTCAGGTGATTTATTTATGATATATTCTTATGTGACGTCCGAGAGTGTTACTACGTAAACTAGTATAAAAGCTCTGGCTGGCGTATTAGCGTTGACGTCACAGATCCCGAAAAGTCGTGTAGACTTACGGTTATAGTTCACTTATTCCACAGCAGTCTTTTTTAAGAAATAACTATTGATATTAAATGGCATCAGCTGTTCCACTCCGAATCTTCCGTTAGGCATTTAGTTTATTGACTTTGTTTTATAGGTAAGGAATAACATTTCTTTATACATGAAGTAATGTGTCATTGCTTTATTAATCTTTGACTTGCAGTGGTAAATGAACTCTTCAAAGAAAAAGACAAAAATACAAAATGCATACACTGTTGTAATTCGTATATGTTATGAAAATTGTGGACCTATGATCCGGCCAATAAAAAGCTGTGTTTTTTTTGTTGTTGTTGTTTTTTATGGGGGGGGTCGGACTAAGAAGAGCTAAAGCGATATAAATTTATATAATTTATAAAGTAGTATTGTATGACAAGTTAAAGATCCTGTAACACATTTTTTTCAAGGTTTTATTTCAAAGATATGATGCTCAAATTAAGATTTGTTAATATTTTAAGTTCCAATAAGCATTATTTATAAAGATATTAACGAATTTAAAATTTCATGTAAATAAAGGAAGGTAATTAGAAATTTATTTTCTATAAATTCTAAGCCAAAGTTTCCATTAAGAAATAAATGCATATAATTTATTGATTAAATATAATGTGCATAAATATTTGCAGTACACATTTTACATATTCTTCGGTGTTTGAAAATTGTTTTATTTGCATAATTATATACATATATAATGTTTTGCAAGTGTGGTATACAGACACTAACAATATCTATCACAAAACATACAGGATCTTTAACATCACGTTTCGGCATGCTTTACTGTTCTGATCAGGGAAAAAAAACCTGTTTAGGTTTGTTTCACATGACCCTATCGGTTATTGTCCTTTTCATGTTTGACAAAAATAAACAGTTGTTTTGGGTTATGTTATGTGTTCTTGTGTTTTTTTAATTTGTTGTTTTGCGTGCGTACGTGCGTATGTGCGTGTGTTTTAAGAGCCTTCCACTAAAGGCATTTTCCAAAAATATCAGCAACAAGTGAGGACATTTCCAATCTCATTTGCATAATATATTCATCACTCCAATACGTCGTATTTTGGCATTGAAATGGCTAAAAAGTCGATTTAAAAGTTCGTCACTGTGTCCGAGTGTGTTGGATGAGTGTGTGATTTTCGGATTTTTATCGACATCTACCCACGCACCCAATATGCTCTCAGTTGCCGTTGGAAAGTCATGTTTTCACAGCAGTGCGTGTAAAATTACTTTGAATGTTAAAGTTTAGTCCAAAGTTTAGATTTACGGAATTATTACAAATTTTTATCATTTAAATGAGACTAAAAACGAATATAAAGAACGTATTCCTTGAATTTAATAACCTGTCAATTGCATACTGATTATATGGTCAATTCCAAAATATATTAAAATGTACTGCAAATAAAGAGGTGTAAAACAATGGCAACAGTAGAGATCCAACCGCTGACCTCTAGCATGTTAGGTTATCACTTTACAGCTGTGTAATTGCGGATATAACGACGACCTATACATTCAGCTAGTATGAGTTTTCAAAACATTAGTTATATTCTCCATGTTCTCGTAAACTACACGGGGATCGAATATTCAAACGAGTGCTGAAATGTATTCATAATTGACAGGTCAATGAAATCTGACCATATACAGAAAAACTTTTTCGTTGACCCTACGCGCGTAAAATAAACATGAGCCGTGTCATGACAATACCAACTTATGGGTTTGCGACCAGCATGGATCCAGACCAGCCTGCGCAGTCTGAACAGGATCCATGCTGCTCGCTTACCAACCCTATTACAAGTAGAGAAACTGATAGCGAACAGCATGGATCATGATCAGACTGCGCGGATGCGCAGGCTGGTCTGGATCAGTGCTGGTCGCAAACCCATTATGTTGGTTTTGTTGTGACGCGGCTCATATAATGTTAACTGAAGACATACGACATTTGGATCCCGAATGAATACACCACTATAGATGACTGCTACTAACAAAAAATGCAAGACTTCGCCGTTTTGAACCTTAAACATGCACTCCCTCTTGTAGTAAAAACTTTTTCATGATTTCAATATTTCAAAAAAAAAGAGAAAAAAATCAATTAACCATCAATTGAGGGCGTAACAGGCGAGTACCATGTCTTTCAATCGAGGACGGTTTACACATTTTCGATTGAGAACCTATCTGTCAAATGAGGACAAGTGATTCAGACTCAATGAGAACTGATGTGTACCTGTCATCAAATGAGGACATAATTATAGGGACAACTGAATTACAGACACTTCGACCTAAAGACACAAGAGTCCAAATTTTTTACAATAAACTTTTTGG